TGACCAGATTTTCACTCAATGTAGACAACATCATGCCCCATCGATTCAACCCATAGCGGAAGTTTCGCGGCAGAATAGATTTTCCGCAATTTTGAAAAAAATGAAATTTTTGCCGATTTCCTCGTTTTGACGGTGCCTGTCTTTAAAAATCTTCTTCTCCAGAACGGCATATAGTACAATCGCGTTCGATATATCATTTTAAAACCCACACTCCGGACTACTTAAACCCTTCAAGGCATATCGATATCTTGAATAGTTTAAGAGTTATTGCCCTTGGAAGTCAGTGAATTTTTTAAGACGCATTTTTATAAGGTTAAGAAAGAGGTCACAACTCTGCGGAAAATCAATGAATTCCATCTTCCATAGTATCAAACTGTAGGTAATTGGATGGGAAACATTTTTGCTTCACATCATGATTATGAAAAAATCAATAATAACGTCACCATTACGACGCAAACACAGCCTTCGCGATTTCGCAAATTTCTGCACCTTTTTGACGGTGCCTCTGTTTAACAATCCTCTGCTCCTGAACGGCAAATAGTAAAATAGTGTTCTATATATCGTTTTAAAGCCCACACTCTGACTACTTAGGTTGTTCAATGCATATCGATATCTTGAATAGTGTCGGAGTTATTGCCCTTGGAAGTTGGTCAATTTTTGGCCAAACGCATTTTTATAGGGTTCACAGCTCTTCGAAAACACAATGGATTTTCTTTTTGAAGGTACCAAACTGTAGACAGTAAAATGTGGAACAATTTTGCTTCACATTATTATTATGTAAAAGTCAATAGTTACGCCACAATTACGCCACAAACAGTGAGGGACATCAGGATTTCGCATTTTTTCAGTTGTGAGATAGCTGGAGGAAGTGTCGTAAAATCTAGCACCACTGCCCGTGTCCTGGTTTTCCAGTGCCCACAGAAATAGTTCCCTCTTTAACAGGCCGTAACTCTGTTGTTCATAGGTCTACATTCAAAAGAATTAGTGTTCTGGAATTGCCAGGATGTGATCTCTCCAGCAGTCTGCAACATGTACCAGTAATCTCTTATAGTATATGTTTTTCTGCAGTTTGTGAATTTTCCGTTTAGGTCAGCAGCATTGAATCAATGCCAAATTAATCTCAGGTTGGAACCCCGGCCTTTAACCGCACCACAGTAATTTTTAAAGGTTGGGTTGAGTTGAGTTGGGCTTTACGTCGCTTTATTCCAGCCAGCCATATAGTGATAAGAACAAGTCTGCATTAGTACACATGGTAAGTACAGAGTCAAAATGAGTTTTATTTAAAAACATCTATTCATTACGTTGTCATTTAAAAACAGAAAAGTCATAGCACTAAATTTAAAAACAGGCAGTTTGTTAGTCACATCACACAGTTGCAATTTATAATACAGATAAACTTCCCCCAGGTGGTTCACTATCAGATGAGCACTCACGCGGGAGAACATATATCTCCTATAAATAGACTACCACTGCAAAACGTGGTCCACGTGCAGATATGGGAGACGATGTCAATTTCAACGGCAGATGTAATTGACAATGACAAGGAGCTGTCAAATCTGAGTTGGAACGTCATCCAATGCCCAAAGAAATAGCGTTACATCGGCATTATCCTTCACAAGTGCAGTATTTGCACATACGTGTATGCGTCAGATAGCTAGGATCACGGCGATTCCAGAACACTAATCGTTTGGACCGTAGGCCCAAGGACGGCGGAGCTACAGACAGTTAAAGAAAGAACTATACCTTCTGTGGGAACTACTTAAAAGGTACATGACCCCCGCGACCCGGCTGCATTTCACCGATCCGCTCTCGTGTCAAAAACGTGTTCTGCCTGGGTTTTGAACGCTTTCTAGCCCTTAAATACTCTTCAAACACCCGTAACTCCGAGAGTTAAAATTGACGGTCCAGCTGGCGTCCAAAGAAACGGTACAAGTAAAGGTAGCCACGGGGGGTGTATGGGGGAAGTCTGAAGACCGTCAGTATTGCCCTGGAGGCAATCCTAGTTATTATTATTATTATAAACTTACCTAGCTTCAAAGTTTTCCAAACATCGCTCGTCTCCTAGCTGATGTCATCAATAAAAACAATCACGTGACCTAAGGGGGGAATCTACTTTTTAAACTATAGAAGCCCGATAGGGTCATCTTTTAAGTTGTTTTTTCACTTTTCATTTCACGTATCCCGTATCAACTCTACATATTTTATGAACTGGAAATTTATGCTGAAGAAATATGACTATTGCGTTAATTCTACAAAATCGTTTACTGTATTACAATTTATCAACTTCGATATTACTGTAAACCTACATTGACACTCCCGGATTGGCTGTTGACAACGTGTGAGATTGTGACATGTGCTGTGCGCCCGTAATTTGATCTGAAGGAAATACCACGGAAACATATGACGTCATCAGAGTTTGTGCACAATGGCCGCCTGACGTCCGATACGGCCAACAATGAACTTCAGAATGACATTGATATTAAATGATACAAAGGTATGTCGTCTATCACTATATTATGTTTATATGACTTGGCAATATGAGCGATCATATTCATAGTCGTAAATTTCTTAATACCACGGAAACCCATGACGCGAGAGTACATGTTGTTGCAGTAGTTCTAATCCTAAACATCCTAAATACATCAGAGTGCCCCAGTGTTGTTTATTAAAAAAATCTCAGAGTGGTTAGGTGTTTACTTTATACCATACAACTGTTTGTGTAAATTGTGTACTGATTACAAGTAAGTGTTTATGTTGTGGGTATAGTCAACCATACAACTGTTTCTGTAATGATTACAAGAGGTTTAAACAGAGTCATGGGTGTCAGACACTAGTCAGTAATCTAAACAAGAGTAATGTTTTAATTTGTTTTGTGGTTTTAACAGAGTCATGGGTGTCATTAATCTAATTAGTTGTGATTGGTCTCATGACTCACAATGCTATATAAGACGAACATTTCAACTACCAATTCATACTGGTAACCATGCCTGTAAAGTGTGTTGTCTGTCACAACACTGTCAGGAAAAACCAACAAGCTCTGGAATGTGACTGTTGCCAGCGATGGACCCATCTCAGCTGTAACACAGACATGACCCGAGAGGAATACCTCCGTCTTTGTGCAAGTGGGGAGAACTTTCACTTTCTCTGCCATGTCTGCTCTGATCCTGAGTCTCAGTCAGGTAATATTAGACACTCGTGCCTAAATATCGGTATATCCCTCGCTCTCACTCGGGAAATACCAACATTCACTGATTCAGGCACTCGTGTCGTAAACATAGTATGACATGGGCACTCATATGATATCCTCTATATAGTTATTTAATACAGTAAGTTTGCATCATTACACAGAAATACATTTTATTTAGTATATTTTTCAAAGTGGTAAGAATGTATTACACAAGACATGTCAGTCATTTTCGTGCTGCTTTGGTCAATGAATTCTATTTATTAGGATTATTTTGAGGGGTTCAGGATTAGGGACAGATTCTCACAAAACTGGTTGCTTCTCTTAGTCATGTGACCTACGACAGAGACTGTCCGCACAAGAAGTTGTGATGCTGTATTCTAAAGGTGCTCCCTCTGTTTTGTAGCCTGCACCATTTATATGTACCAGATGACATTTTGTTGTCCACGACCCAACAAACTGGGCATCAGATCAGCTAGACCATAGTGATGATGAGGGTGACTCATCCCTTGAATTCTCACATTTATTGGATGCTGACTAAAACCTTTTTATATTTCAAATTGTCTGTGTGCGTAATTGTGTTTGTGTATGTGCAATCATGCGACTTGTGGAGATCTGGGTAAGAATTGGTCTTTAGCCACCCATGCTTGTCGTAAGACGCGACTAACAGGATTGGTTGGTCATCGTATCTCAAGTGGATAGATAGATGGAGATGATGTTGATCACTGGATTATCTGGACCAGACTCCATTATTTACAGACTGCCGCCATATAGCTGGAATATTGCTGAGTGCGGCATTAAACATCAAACAAACAAACAATGATATTTCAGCTGACTATGTTAAACTGTCCAATGTTGTCATTAGATACAGAGCATAAAATGCATGGGATTCACAAAACAGTAATGGTAAGTTGAGATCAATACATAAATCGAAGGAGTGATTCATCTCTGTCTTGCCCCGTGGATTTATGAAAAGTAAGCCTTGTATATTACGGTTTACTAAGGCAGAGGAACATCTTGGTGTTAGGTGCCAATATGGAATTAACATATTTTGTTCAAAGGACATGAAGGATAAGCCAATAATACATCGATTGATTGTCCATTGTTGTGACGTCCAGTGGATATTTTTAAAGACTTGTTGTGCTGTCTCAACTGACCATAGTGAGACACGACACAAATATACAACACCTAAAACAAACTGACATCAGTTGAGAGACAAACACTGGCTAAGATATCCTAGTACGCTGTATATGTTATATAAAATAGATTGTTACAAAGACATGGGACACTGAACATGATTCTTTGACTAGAGTCAGATGTATGGGAGGATATTGTTCCTCTATGTAGATGAAGCCCATTTCTGGTGTCCCCTGCCATGATATTGTTGGAATATTGCTCAAAGCGGCGTAAAACCAAACTCACTCACTTTATGTAGATGTTGACAGATAGATTCCTGGAACAAGGCAACCGCCTGATACTGTATATAGTTTGTATAACAAGGCTCGATTTAAGAGATATTAACCAACATGCACCAAGTGCAACCTAAGGTGAAAACCTAGTAGCACCAGATAAATTCCAGGTGCACTGCTTTTATTGCAATATGTAGTGAAAGAAATATGCTAGTGAATTATTTAGATGTTTTATTCAGAAGTTTGCCAACTCAAATATTATTCTGCACCCGGTACAAGTTAGAATAATAACTAGGTTGCACTTTGTAATATTGGGTTGCACCAGTGCAAGTAACAAAGCACTCAATCGAGCCCTGTATACATTCCTCAGTTGCATGTGGACTAAGCAAGTGCTGTTAAATTATTGCATGAATGTTTTTACCTTTCAACCTGGGCGGCTTTATCGGCCTGGTTTCATCGAGGCTGGCGGGGACAAGTTTATTAAAGTGGTGGGTACCATTATGCCTGGATCATGAGTACATCATCTATGTAATACTATTGTTGTATATTTGTTTGCGGTGTGTGGTCCTGTGCGTAGAGCTCAGGTCACAATCAGTTGAAGTTAAGCAACGTTGGTAGCGGACAGTCCTCGGACGGGTGACCGTGTTTGGCAGCTTGACTCCTGAAAGTTTCTAGGACTTCAGTCCTGCCCCACAATGAAGCACATGTGACGCATGTGGTCTCACCTTAGGCAAGTGAGTTTGTTCAAAATTGCCACTGTCCACCCAGCAGTAAAATTGGGTATCTTGTATGATACGATGGTAGTCTGAATTTGAACCTTGAGCGCCTGACAGGCGACTGGTTGTATTCTCCACATGGAGTGTTCTGTACTCGTTGACCAGGGGTAATATGTCAGCGCTTTGAGCATGGAATGTGCATGGATAAACGCGCAATATAAATGGACTATTATTATTATTATATTTATGGCTACATGTAGATGAAAAAATCATTGTGTTGTCATTCAGTATAAATAACGTTTTATGATGGTTTGTTTCTAACATACAGGTCACAAATGTGACTGACTTAGGCAGCATTGGCTGCCCTTGCAGAGTGAAATACTTGACTCTTGAGAGTTTCTAGGGCTTCTTACCCCACACTGAGTCATGTGGTTGCTACTTTAGTGACTTTGATCAGAACTGAACTCTGAGAAAAGACCCCTCAATTTTCATGCTCAGGTTTAATACTGATTGTCTAAAATCAGTGTGCTTTCAACCAATCGTTGAATTATATACATGATATATGCATGATTTTATTCTTGATAATCCATCATAATTTTTCTTCAAAATTCATTAAAATTATGTACTTTTGAGTGACTATTTTGCATATTAGACATGACAATGGAAAAGTGAAAAAGTTTACATAGAAAATGATATGCAAATTGCCTAACAATGATTGATCTTTTTCCGTCGCCAAGTGGATAGAGCATCCGCCAGAGAAGTGGTTGGTCATGGGTTCACCAGTGTTATCATTAAGATCAGTCAGGAAGTGGTTAACACATTTGTATGTCCTCAAATTATATTTTAGAATGTCATATGTTTTCGGATGTCATTACGATTTAATCAGTAGGCTACCCCACCACCCCTTAAACAATGTTGTATTTTTAGTCTTGTTAATCCACTTGTGTAGCAGGACCTCCACTGTTTCAGATCCACTTCTGCTGGTCCCTATCCTACTGGACGTCCCCCGTGCTGCTGACTGTACTCTACAGAAGAGGTTGGTCACGTTGGCATCAGATTATGTTGCTTGTGTAGAGCTGCTTCCCTTAGCACCATCCAGGAAGCATTGTATTGACAGAGCTGACTTGGTTGACACATGTCATCGTATCCCAATTGCATAGATTGATGCTCATGATGTGGATCTCTTGATTGTCTGGTCCAGACTCTATTATTTACAGACCACCACCATATTTCTGTAATATTGCTGAATGTGGCGTAAAACTAAACTCAATCAATCAAAGTATCAACAGAAGTCTCCGGGCAATTGCAGCTGTCTGCTGGAAAATTACATACGGAAACTTAACCCCTATTCAAATCCAAGATGCTTGGAAATCCTTTAAGATAATTTGCAATCATCTGACTAAGTATGATATTTCAGAGGACGAGCATAAATAAAGGCTGTAGTTGTCCCATTGAAAATGTCAAATTATATAAACTGGGAAATCTTTGTAAAAAAATGTAGGAACAAATTCAGACTTCAAATCCTTTTTCAAAGACACTGTTCTTTTTTATGCATGCATGTCTCTGACTTCTGAAATGTTCAAGTACTAGTATATGAGTATGGTCTAAATGTTCGATGATTTTCCAGCCCCCAAATACATCTAAGGACTGTTACCCAGTGTGTTATTTTCTACTACGTGTGTTACTGTTTTTATCTGCGTTTGCTGAGAAATTCAGCATAGGTTAAACACATGCTCATGTCAAAATGCTCTTAAAATGCTTCTCTAGAACACTAAACGTGCTAAAATGAGATATTTTTTCTTATCCTGACTCATGCTTATTTGCTTGTCTTCTTCTTCTGGCGAACCTAGTGGAACACGTATATCTCCCAATTGAAGTTCCCTTCAATAAAAGAAATCACTCATTAGTACTCACCACGAGTTACCTCCCTTTCCCCAAGCGCGGGAACGAGGGCGCCACCCAAGCCCATGTGCTTCACTCTCTCCTTCTTCGCCCAGTGAGCTGGACGTGAGAGCACCTGTGTCTCCCAACACACTATATCCTTAATTATATTTAGTTAAGTTCCTCTTATACGTTAGTATAGAGGTAGTACTAGTATAATTATTCAATTTGCATTGATTATTAATTGTGTTTCTGCTGTTTTATTCACGATTCGTCGTGTTTGTTCAGTAGGCTACATTAATGAAAATTTGCACAGAATGTAAACTACGTTATTCTGATACCGATCCACATTTAAAATGCCCTAGTTGCATTACTCCATGTTCCTTTGATTCTCGTTGTAAATTTTGTATCAATTTACCTATCTCTGCCTTTGACAAATATTTATGTTCCGTTTACAGACGGAAGGCAGATAAATCACGTAAACAGAATTCAAACATGGCTAATAGATCGCAAATTAATGTTTCATGTCAACTGTTGACTGAGGACACGCCACCGGCTGGTGGCATGCCTGAGTTTCCCTCGGCGGATAAGCGTGGGACGCAGTCCGCTATGTCCAAGAAGCGACCTGCATCTCAAGAGCTGCCGTCTTCTCAGTCCAAGTCGAGGAAACCATCCATATCATCTCGTACTTTGCGTACACCAAGATCTACACCTTCATCTAAATAATTTTGCCTCTGATATCTTACCAGTTACAGAATTAGCATTATATGATGATGATATGCCTATTATCATTCCAGAAGTTCGTCACAAGAAACGGCCCGTTTCTGCGACTGTCACCTCAGCGCAGATGAACACACAACAGGAGATGCCAACTCTATCACCAGAAATTTTATCTGAGGGTCCCGTCACCTCTGCAGAGAGACATCCCTCTTCAACGCAGACCGCCTCAGACGACTTGATCAACCAGATAATGAGGGTGATGGAAGACCGCTACGGCTTACAGAGGCCTCAGAGCCCACCCCATATCAAGTCATACAGGGCCTCAGAGCCCGCCTTGGCTTCGCGTAGGGCCTCTGAGCCCATAGACGCGCCTCCGCGAAGGGCAACCCTGCCCGGAGTGAGCTCTTTGCATAAGGTATCCCAGGCCGCCTCCGTGAAGGAGCCAGAGCCTCACCTTTTGCAAGAGGCTTCGCGGAGAAGGAGCGCTTCGCCGAGCACGCACCTTGTCATGCACGAAGGGCGTCCGCGAAGCAAGCGCTCATATGTCGGATCGGACACTGAATCCATACATTCGCGTAGGACGCGAAGGCTAAGTGGTTCTACATCGCCTAGAAGACGTTCGCGTAGCCCTCAACGTTCGAGAAGTCCACAACGTTTGCGAAGCCATCACCGTTCACGTAGATCACAGTCTCCGCGAAGGATGTCTTCTCCAAGGTCTACATACACTAGCCACTCTTCAGTCCGTTCTCCTCAGTCCTCACATAGATCTTCTTACAGATCTAGGACTCCGACATACAACCATCCATCAGAGGAGGACGATGGTATTGTTTTCTCAGAAGCTGAGATAAGATATTGGATGGTAAACGAGTTACAACTGGCCTCTCCCTCTAAGAACGAGGATACAGCCCAAACTTACCTCATGAAAGATGATGATGTAGATCATATCACCGTGCCTCCTATGGATCCTATCGCAGCCGTTCCTGCTAATCTGGATACTACTTACGCCAAATCTACTAAAAACCTACCTACCCATTAACCATTCTTCAATGCCAAGAATTGTTATGGACATAATATGGAGCCCTTTTTCAAGACTCAGGAGATTGATGAGAACTTTGAACTTATCAGTGATTCCAAGTCCAGAACTTATAGGATTGATGATCGCAAGATGGCCCAGTTAGATACCATTTCCAGGAGGATGTTTTTCGGACTTAATAGGTCTAGGACTATTAACGAAACTCTCATCACCAAGTTCAAGAACTCTACGGATGAGGAGAGTAGGATGATTTACTCAGCACTACTTATGCAGAAAAAAGATCAACAATTCCTTACAGACCTTCTTTCAGCTCTTACTGAAATCACTACCATGACACGTCGGCAAGGGTTACTAGCCTCCTGCTCTTGGAATAAACAATTCACAGAGCCTATGTACACAGCTCCATGGTCTTCTCCGTTACTGTTTGGTGGCAACATTAACAAGGTTTCCAAGGAAGTATCTAAAGATTCTAGAGAAGTTCTCATGATTAAATCTATGGATACGTTAGCCAACGCCTTTAAACAATCAGCACAGAGGTACTCGGGTAAGTCTAAGTTTTCAGGGCTACAGAGGGCCCGGGATAAGAAATTAGCGGCCGTTAATAATCCCAAGAATTCTTTTCGTCGCCCATACAACAAGTTCAGAGGAGGATCAGCTAGAGGCAGATCATCCAGAGGTGCCCGTGGATTTAAACGATGAAAGTCAGGTTCGGAACGACTGGAGTCTTCCACCCCCAGTCGTCCCAGTACAACCTTCTCAAGTGGGTGGACGTCTGCAACTACACTGGGAAAACTGGGGAATACTTCAAGATCCGTATGTATCCAACATCCTTCAGTACGGATATCGTCTACAACTCAAGGCCAAGCCACCGTTAACAGTCGACCCACCAGGGTTCAACGTTCAGCTGGCACTACTACCGATGTTAAGAGAAACAGTTCAGTCTCTACTAAACAAACAGGCCTTAGAAGTTCTCGAGCAGCAAAACATCACACCAGGCTTCTACTCCCCAGTTTTCCTAGTGCCGAAAAAGAATTCCAAAGAGAAGTATCGCCTCATTTACAACATGAGCACCTTCAACAGAGATTTTCTATGCAAACCACCAACGTTTCGCATGATACATTTACCTCAACTCCGTCAGCTAATTCGTCCACTAGATTACATGGTAAGTATAGATCTGCAGGATGCATACCTACACATTCCGATTCATCCCAGGTCAAGGAAATATCTGAGGTTTATGCTAGACGGCATACACTACCAATGGAAAGTACTTCCCTTCGGAATCACTTCGGCCCCTTGGGTATTCACAAGAGTAACCAAGCCTATTGTCTCATACCTACATCGTCAAGGCCTGCGGAGTGCATTTTACCTAGACGACGGTATACAGGTGGATCCAGATCCACAGCGTCTCAGACTACAGCTGGAATTTACAATCAAGCTACTAACACAGTTAGGCTGGTTAGTAAATCTACTCAAGTCGGACCTAGAGCCCACGCAAGATCTGCAGTTTCTAGGTATACGATTCCTTACAGCCCAGAATCGTTTGGTAGTCCCGGAGGACAGATGGATCAAAATACAACAACTGATTCCCCAAGCCCTACTCTCTCCGTTACCACTACGACAGTGGCAGAGTCTACTGGGACTACTCACATCAGCTCAAGACTTGACACTCAGAGGCAGGCTTCAATTGCGTCCATTACAAGTCCTCATCATTGCTCATCTCGAGGACCCTCTACCATTCAGTCTACCAGATTATGTCAAACCACATCTACTCTGGTGGACCAAGAGATTGAATGTCTGCGTAGGCGTCTCCTTAGTAGAGCCGGAATCGGATATACACCTCTACGTGGACGCGTCACTAATAGGCTGGGGAGCCCACCTTACCGGCAGGACAGCGTCAGGCCTATGGAGCATTCAAGAGAGCTTATGTCACATAAATCTGCTAGAGATGCAAGCAGTCATAAACGCCATAAGTCACTGGAGCAACCTGTTACAGAACGCCCAGTTAATGATTCACACAGACAACTCAACAGTGGCGTTTTATGTGAACAAACAAGGGTCAACAAGATCACTGAATCTACTCACCCGATGTTTCAGACTGTGTACGCCAAACTAAGAATCTGAAAGGATCTACACTATCCACTTATCTTGCAGCCATAAGTTCAGTCATTACTATGAGGACGGGCGTCAAGTTGACTAAAACACCAGAGTTACTCGCCTTATTACGTGCCTTTCGATTGGAAGACCAGAAACGGAAGTTTCAAGCGCCAGCCTGGGATCTGAATGTTGTACTTCAACACCTCACAAGTGAGGCTTACGAGCCATTGTTATCTGCGTCATTTGAATCATTGACCCACAAAACCTTATTCCTGCTAGCGTTAGCCACTGCAGCCAGGATGTCTGAAATTCACGCTTTGGATTACGAGAGAACACGGTTTGATGATATTCATAACATCGCTCATCTGGGACTTCGATGGGATTTTATAGCGAAAAATCAACTACCAGGTCAACCAGACAGGTTGTTCCATGTCCCAGCTCTCTCATCCATACTTGGACCACATGATACGATGGACTTATCACTTTGCCCAGTACGTGCACTGAAAATATATCTCCAAAGATCCAAGCAAAGTAGAGGGAAATTCAAAAGATTGTTTATCCCTATATCTACCGCTTCACAGACAGAAGTGTCGCGCACTACTATTTCTATCTGGATCCGAACTGTCATACTAAGAGCCTACAAGGCAGCTGGACTGGACCCTCCAAGTGCTGCTAATCCCCACGAAATTAGAGCACTAGCTTCTACTTTAGCTTTACATGGAAATTGTTCATTAAATACCATTATGGAGGGATGTTTTTGGAGATCCGATATGGTGTTTGCCAACCATTATCTGAGAGATATCACCACCAAGGACGTCTCAGGTATCCACCATTTCGGTCCCATGGTCCTCGCTCAACAGTTGACAGTTCCACGGAGAAGATAAGTCTATCTTGATGATTTTATACTTATCTGATAACAGTACTAATAGCTACGTGCTATCTATATATATTTGCTTAAGTTAAAATTTTATCTTAAGCTCAGTACTATGATTTTATATCATTATACACATATACCTACAACTCTTACGAGTTCTACTATTATATATATGTTCAGCTTAAGTTCTATCTTTAAGCTCAGTCATATGTTCATTTCATAACATGTATTAGTTAACAAACTCTCAGTAGTTGGTTACTATTATACAGCTTAAGTTATCTTTATACCTTAAGCACAATTATGTTATAGCTTATATATATACATATTGTAAGCTTATTACTTTGGTTCTTATAAAAGTATACTTATAAACTATCTACAGTTTATACTTCACATTACTTGCCTTAGCTTTAATTAATGTTCTATATACCTTTATTATATTCAGTAAATTGTAATAACCTTCTTAAAAGGCAGCTGTTAATATACAGCAGGAATTCAGTTCAGTGCCTTCATGAAGTTCCCATAGGGTTATTACAATTATCTCAGTTGAAATCACTAATTAGTAAAATCCAAAGTATATATAATCCCACCTCCTATCCGTAGGATTCTACAAGCAAATAAGCATGAGTCAGGATAAGAAAAATATGAAATTTTTAGGTAAAATTAATATTTTTATGCTTATCCCTGACTCATCGAGGTAAGCCCTCCCGTCCTCCCCACTTAGCACTTTGGATTTCTCGAGAAAAATAAAGTGTTGGGCTCAAAACAAAAAAGGAGAGAGTGGAGCACATGGGCTTGGGTGGCGCCCTCGTTCCCGCGCTTGGGGAAAGGGAGGTAACTCGTGGTGAGTACTAATGAGTGATTTCTTTTGAAGGGAACTTCAATTGGGAGATATACGTGTTCCACTAGGTTCGCCAGAAGAAGACAAACAAATAAGCATGAGTCAGGATAAGTATAAAATATTAATTTTACTCTAAAAATTTCATTTTTCAACATATGAACATATCTGATAACTATCATTACAAGTTTGAAGGGATTTACTTCTTCCTCATATACAATGCAGATCCTGTCAGCCTTTGAAAACTGGACTGATGCATTTAGACATGTTTTGTGGCCATCTTCTGGTAGCTGTTGTTTGACATAAAACAACATTTACTCACTGATTGTTGTCCATGTTCTTCAGAGTACTTCAGCACGGAGGGGTTGACGACCATCGCCAAGTTCCTCATCTCTATCGGGATCATCTACGCTGTGTCCTTCTTCACCAGAGGTAAACGTTGTTGTCATTCATTCATCACCCGGCAGTATTGGTGCCACAATATACTCAGGTGCTGCAATCCATTGGCGTAATGTACCCATGAAGATCCGGGTTAGAATTGGTCTTCAGCAATCAATGCTTGTCGTAAGAGGCAGCTGGATTGGGTGCTCTGGCTTGCTGACTCGGTCGACACATGTCATTTTATCCCAGTTGTTGCTCAGGTGTTGATCACTGGATTGTCTGGGGCAGACTTGATTATTTGCAAACTGCTGCCAGATGAATATTGCTGAGTGCAGCTTTAAACAACAACCAAACAAACATTGGTATAATAGATTGATTGTAGTAATCTGAAAGAATCGGGTTATGCTTAACCTCCTTGTGTATGTGTGAGTCTTTGGTAGTTGGAGTAATTTTTGAAATATTTCAGAAAGAACGATTGCATTTGTTAATGATTGATATCAGAAATTGGTGTTAGGTTGAGTAGCGTTGAGTATGGTTTTACGCCGCTTTTAGCAATATTCCAGCCATATCACGGTGGGGGACACCAGAAATGGGCTTCACACATTGTACCCATGTGGGGAATCGAACCCGGGTATTCGGCGTGACGAGCGAACACTTTAACCAGTAGACTACCTCACCGTCCCTGGTGTTAGGGTACAAATGTAAAGCTCATCAGATTTCCATTTCTTTCACATTGCAGTACAGTAGAACACGGATATAGCGTACAAACGGATATAGCGAACAAATTTAAAAGTCCCGTCAACAGTCCTTTACAATATCATTAAAATTATATGCGAATAACGAACTCGTGAGTAGCGAATTAACGGATATAGCGAACTGATTTACTACCCCCAAGCCCCAATAACGACGTGATTAGCGAACTCACTCAGCGTCAGCTCAGTGTCAGCTCAGCCACTTAGCGGTATACATCACCCTTGTTGGCGGCGAATCAACATTATTCGATGGTCATTAACGCGTTTAAAAAAACAAACATGTTCTTGCTAATGTCTGTGAATGATAAATTCAGAATTTTAATATTATGTCAATGTACAAGAATAAAAATTTGTAGCCTCAGCATATACGTGTCTCTACATCTCTACAATCCAAGATGGCGGTCAAATGTGAATAACGAACACCGGATATAGCGAACTAAATTTCTTGGTCCCTTGGAGTTCATTATATCCGTGTTCTACTGTACATCTGTGAGAATGAAAGTAATGAGATCTTTTAACAACGCACAAACTACTTGTCACAATCAAAGGTTTAATTTGTTAGTTGTTAAATATCATCATCACAGTCAGCATCAAGTACGAATGGTTCAATGGTAGCTGTGGAAAGAGCATGTCTGTGCTGATCCCATAAAGTTTTACATTGACTTGTGGATGCAAGATGACTACATGTTGGTGGTAACTGTAGCAACTAAATAGCAGCAAAGCTTGAGTTTGATCTTTATGAAATGATTTTGAAAGATTGTTGGTTTTGAAACTATTTCAGTGATGTGTTTAAAAGTTTCTGCAATTTTGTCATTCTTTGTCCAGGTATTGGCCGTTTTTCTAACCCAGACTATGTGACCTTTATTTCAACATTGATGACATGTGAGAGATCTCTCACTGAGGCCAACAGGGTGAGTTCTCTGAATTCAGCCTTATGGAGGTAATAAAGAATACTACTTTTTGGATCTTTTTTTCGATCTTCCCGCCATTATGTTACCTGTGAACCTGGTGTGGCAAGTCAATCTCAGGACATAAACATAAATGATTTGACAGCTTGTTAGCCTTTGACAGGAAACTTTTGTATTGAGAATCACCATGCCACTTTTACCAGGGTTAACCATGTTTTAATTTCTACATGGAAATACATTTAACAAACCTTAACATCAGTCAACATCCATTGGCGGATCGTCCATGGTGGACGAGCTGGCTAAGACGCCAGGCCCCAATTTCTCGAAACAAACTTAAGTTTTTACTGAAAGTTCAAACTGAGTTTGACAATTTGAAACAGCTGAATTTTTAACTCAACTGCATTTTTAAAATAAAAAAGCCAAAACAATTTAAGTAATCTAGCCACCAAAATCAAATTGTCTACTATGTATGAGTTTAATATCAATTTCAGTTCATTCTGGGAAATGCATTTTCCTGCATTTTCTCAGATTTTGAGTAAAAACTCTAACTTAAGTAAAAACTCAGACTTAAGTTTGTTTCGAGAAATCGGGGCCAGGCTACTGATCCAGCGAGGTTGAGGTGCCGTGATCGAGCCCACTTGTGACCAGGTGTAAAACCCTTGGAGTCAACTTTTATGTGCAGACTCTTTCAGTGTTGTCACAACCCCTAGTGTACAGTACACAACCCTGTGGTGGCCACATGAATACATGCAAACACCTAGTTGCGGGTACAACAACATGCAGTAACTTGGACAAACTACCTAGCTGTGAATGGGTACCTCGTTAGGATGAGAAAGCCACAATAACTTGGTGCGCCTAGTGGCAGCAAGAGTTGTATACTCCCCAGGGAGTTGAGATAAATAATGCGATGTGCTGTTGAGATTCACATCCAGTGATCGAGGGAAAAAATACCAGTGCCTTAGCAAGCACTGGTGTGTGGATATGTGCGCTATATAAATATCCTATAATAATAAAATAATAATAAGAAGAAGAAGAGGAAGGATCATGTCTGATAACAGAACCCACAACCCTCGTTCCTCTCTTAACTGTTTATATATGCCAATCAGTTCCGGGGGTTGGGGTTTGATTCATGTGGAGGCTCTTCATGATAGAATTTGATTGTGTACATATTTATTTATCCGATGATCCTCGGGTGATGCATGTCAAGTCTCATGATGAAAGCAAGGAATTCCACAGCTATTTTAAGCGTGACAAGGTTGTTGGACAGAATCTGAATTTGAGGTTGATTTTCCTGATGGCGTTGTACTGCTGGACGGTACAGCGATGGGAGTAAACCAGGTGAAGTTATTCACCAGTCACTTCCCACTCGTAATCGCCAAAATCTGAAAATATCAATATTCAATGTCGACTATGAAACAAATTTACAGAGACTCTCCAACGTCTTGTCAGTGGATGCCCTTCTTTGGCACAAACAGCATATCGTAAACGACATGACGGCATGGCTCGTTGGTTTTACTACCGTCTCCGCCATGTCTGTGGCTTTGACTCCCGAGGTCCATCCATGGTACGACCCTGAACATGTCCAGGGCATCATGGAAAATGCTTTCAAACTTCTGTGGAATAGGCCCATATACAGCCTGAGAAGAATTTCTAAACACCCCCGCCCCTTTTTGAAAATTCCTGGATCCGCCTATGACATCATCTAATCACTGCTGCCTGATTTCTCAATGTCCGTTCAATATTCTCTGCAGAAGCTATTGAACAAAGACTTTATCAATAAAAGCATAAGACAGTAACAGTTTTCGTATGTACTTCATGATCACATGATTTACAGTAATATTTAAATATGGCTGCTATTTATGTTTCTCAGCGAGCTTTGTGGCGTTATGACTATGAGTTCTGGGCGTGGCCGGTGGATTTCCGCTGGGCTGATGTCAATCAAGGGCAAGTATCTCTAAAAAATGAATGACAATCTGTCAATATGTCCTTAGTAATTCAGCATCACCCAGTTTGCTTTGAATTCAAAGGCACTGAGTAAAAAATGTTGAGAAAGTGTACAGTTATGGCTCTTGCTTGACCTTTTGGACATTGTGCAGAGGTAACAATCGTCCAATCCCTACGGTGGGAACATGAGGGCATTCTAAACTGCTACATATTCAGGCACTTTTGTACATTAGTAAGGCCAAATTATATATAAAGTTTTGAAAATTCACCATCGCAAAATCAGAATGTAAAATGCACATAATAGATGGCTTTTCACAACGAAGTATTTTTGAATTTTAAGTAATACTAATAGATTATACCCAAGTGATTAAGATGTGATACTTAAAAGGAAGTTAAAATCACATAAATCTCTAATATAGTTTATCTGTCCGGCATCAGACTTCACTGACAAGAGACTTGAAGCTGGTATAATGTGGAATATGTCCCCAGCTAACACAGCTTGTCAGAGATGGCGCTACAGACTGGGTGGTCACACCAGGTGAAATGATGGCATTCCGTCATATGTTATCATAACCCAGTGGCAGGGGTTTTCATTCCTAACTCTGATTTGAACTCCATTATTTACTTGCCGATGTCAGAGGCAGGGATGTTGCTGACAGCAATATTAAACAAAAAACAATCTAAGCGAGCTAAAGCAACATCTGTTTTCTTGTTGTTTATTCACAGAGATGTAAAGAAGGCCAAGGTTCAGATTCCACGGTCGTCCCGCGGCCAGCCCGCTAGCGCCATCTCCACACTGCCATGCAACATCATCAGGTAGGTTCATCCATAGTCAACACATTTCTGTGTTCAGTTAGGATGGGCTCTGTTGTGTAGAACCCAGTGTATTTGGTGATGAAACATAATCCATGCTGGGTATTTAGTCATTTGATTAATTGACACAATATTGACTTGGAGTCTGTCAATTACTTGCACCTTACGTAGTGGTCATCACTAATCAGTGATTATTCCTCAATCATCACTACGACATAAGTGATTATTCTTCAATCATCACTACACCACAAGTGATTATTCCTCAATCATCACTACACCACAAGTGATTATTCCTCAATCATCACTACACTACAAGTGATTATTCCTCAATCATCACTACACTACAAGTGATTATTCCTCAATCATCACTACACCACAAGTGATTAATCTTCAATCATCACTACACCACAAGTGATTATTCTTCAATCATCACTACACCACAAGTGATTATTCCTCAATCATCACTACACCACAAGTGATTATTCTTCAATCATCACTACACCACAAGTGATTATTCCTCAATCATCACTACACCACAAGTGATTATTCTTCAATCATCACTACACCACAAGTGATTATTCCTCAATCATCACTACACCACAAGTGATTATTCCTCAATCATCACTACACCACAAGTGATTATTCCTCAATCATCACTACACCACAAGTGATTATTCCTCAATCATCACTACACCACAAGTGATTATTCTTCAATCATCACTACACCACAAGTGATTATTCCTCAATCATCACTACGACACAAGTGATTATTCTTCAATCATCACTACACCACAAGTGATTATTCTTCAATCATCACTACACCACAAGTGATTATTCTTCAATCATCACTACACCACAAGTGATTATTCCTCAATCATCACTACACCACAAGTGATTATTCCTCAATCATCACTACACCACAAGTGATTATTCTTCAATCATCACTACGACACAAGTGATTATTCCTCAATCATCACTACACCACAAGTGATTATTCTTCAATCATCACTACACCACAAGTGATTATTCCTCAATCATCACTACACCACAAGTGATTATTCCTCAATCATCACTACACCACAAGTGATTATTCCTCAGTCATCACTACACCACAAGTGATTATTCTTCAATCATCACTACGACACAAGTGATTATTCTTCAATCATCACTACACCACAAGTGATTATTCCTCAATCATCACTACGACACAAGTGATTATTCTTCAATCATCACTACACCACAAGTGATTATTCTTCAATCATCACTACAACACAAGTGATTATTCCTCAATCATCACTACGACACAAGTGATTATTCTTCAATCATCACTACACCACAAGTGATTATTCTTCAATCATCACTACACCACAAGTGATTATTCTTCAATCATCACTACACCACAAGTGATTATTCTTCAATCATCACTACACCACAAGTGATTATTCCTCAATCATCACTACACCACAAGTGATTATTCTTCAATCATCACTACGACACAAGTGATTATTCTTCAATCATCACTACACCACAAGTGATTATTCCTCAATCATCACTACACCACAAGTGATTATTCCTCAATCATCACTACACCACAAGTGATTATTCTTCAATCATCACTACACCACAAATGATTATTCTTCAATCATCACTACGACACAAGTGATTATTCTTCAATCATCACTACACCACAAGTGATTATTCTTCAATCATCACTACACCACAAGTGATTATTCTTCAATCATCACTACACCACAAGTGATTATTCTTCAATCATCACTACGACACAAGTGATTATTCTTCAATCATCACTACACCACAAGTGATTATTCTTCAATCATCACTACACCACAAGTGATTATTCTTCAATCATCACTACGACACAAGTGATTATTCCTCAATCATCACTACACCACAAGTGATTATTCTTCAACCATCACTACGACACAAGTGATTATTCCTCAATCATCACTACACCACAAGTGATTATTTCTCAATCATCACTACACCACAAGTGATTATTCCTCAATCATCACTACACCACAAGTGATTATTCCTCAATCATCACTACACCACAAGTGATTATTCCTCAATCATCACTACACCACAAGTGATTATTCTTCAATCATCACTACACCACAAGTGATTATTCTTCAATCATCACTACACCACAAGTGATTATTCTTCAATCATCACTACGACACAAGTGATTATTCTTCAATCATCACTACACCACAAGTGATTATTCTTCAATCATCACTACACCACAAGTGATTATTCCTCAATCATCACTACACCACAAGTGATTATTCCTCAATCATCACTACACCACAAGTGATTATTCCTCAATCATCACTACACCACAAGTGATTATTCCTCAATCATCACTACACCACAAGTGATTATACTTCAATCATCACTACACCACAAGTGATTATTCTTCAATCATCACTACACCACAAGTGATTATTCCTCAATCATCACTACACCACAAGTGATTATTCCTCAATCATCACTACACCACAAGTGATTATTCCTCAATCATCACTACACCACAAGTGATTATTCCTCAATCATCACTACACCACAAGTGATTATTCCTCAATCATCACTACGCCACAGTAACCAATAATCAATTATACTGTGTCACCCTCGGAAGAGATTTAACAGCAGTTAACCTTCTCATCAACATCAAGCATGCTAACAACGGATGAAAGACTACAAAATAACATGAACTTATTTAGTCATTACATCGACAGCATGTATGTGTTTGACATGGACAATATAAAGTCATTTTACAGATGCTTCAGTAATATACTTTGAAGGAGTGAAATGCTTACTGAATAAACTAACAAACCTTATTTCAATTATATTCTTGTTTGTTTACACCATAAATCAATACAAACAATTCATATAAATATATGGCTACAAACAAATCATATTCACATATACATGCACTAAACCGAACAACAAACGTATGGCTGAATCCAGCAGACTGAGTCAAAAGTGAAGCACCGAGAACGACTGTTTTGGTGGAAATATCCCTTGTCATATATTTATACATAGCTAAGGGACCGTTCATAATTTATGGCTAGGCGGGTTGGTGATGAATGTACAATGCAAATGACCACACACACACACACACACACCCTAAATTCTAATTCAGAAGAAGTCCTCCTTGGGGTACATATAAGCATTAAAATGTCCATTTTAAAATACCTACGACAGTTGTAACAATATTTCAATAAAATAGTTTACCAAACAAAAACTCGTTTTGTTTAGTGAGACCACCCCTATAGGGCCCCTCACAGGGCCCCCTACAGCCCAGAGCAGGTAACTCGGGCTGCTTAGCGCGTACCTCACTTTTCATGCTGTCGTTGACTAGAACGGTCGTGCATGGTACAGAGAAGACACGTCTTCGCCTGATACTACGATAGAGAAAATGAGTGAGAAAGAGTCAAATCCTGTATGTATGGTTCCTTCTTTTTCGCATGGGCGCTGGCTGGAATCTTCGTATGACTTTTTTCATTCATGATTTGTTGTAACTTTGCCGGCGTGTTCGCTGTCTCCAGCCATGTGGCAGGCAAGATGGCGGACTGCGGGGACCTTTTGTTATCCCTTCTGCTGGCTTTGAAAGCCTTGTAGTCTGGTTGTAAGGGTTTGATATTTCATTATGTAGATTATGCTTGCCTAAATTCCTCTTTTTCATTTCTCACCCGTAAAGAATAATCTTCCAACCATGAGTGTTGATGTGCATTTGGAAGGCATGCGAGAAAGTTGGCACAGAACTGAAGACAAAAGGGCTTATCAGCAAGACGGCTTTGTTGCCATGTTATCTTCCCGGTGTTCAGTGTTCTGGCGAACTATCTGGCCTGGTCTCGTGGTTTTATATATATATATTTAAATATAAATATATATATATATAAGAAGAAGTCTTCCACACACACACACACACACACACGGAAGTACACCATGACCCCCCTCAGAGAGCATGGTTGCTGGAAACCAATTCTACCCAGAATCATAACGGGTGTGTTTGCAGCAGCGACAGAAACAGCACTAACACCAGCACCAGCAGAGACAGAGGCTGCGACAGCGGTAGTAGTAACAGCAGCAGCAGCAGCAGTAGTAGTAGCAGCAGCAGCAGTAGTAGTAGCAGCAGCAGCAGCGGTGAATAGTCTATTTGCTTTGAAGTTGATCGACCCTCTCTAAATCTTGTGAGAAAACAAATCGATTTCGTCCCTTTGGGAGATTATAGGGGAAAGAGGAAAATCCAATCTATTTCTGTTAACATAACTTAACATGACATGCATAGTTGGGTGTCTGGGTTGACCTTTGATCTCAGTGTTTGGAATGATCAAAATAACTGTTTATGTCTGTAATTTGCGCAGCATCCACTATCGAACTCGCTTTCTAAGCTTAACCATTAAACAACTAGAGCTGAACACCCTGTATGCGCATACACAGCAACCATTTTCCTTAAGAACAACAGAATAAGATAACTGAACATGAGGGTGTGTGTTACTTATGACTTTGTCCAAAGTCTATAAGGCTCATATGAAACTTTAGAGGTTCTATATATTTTCCAATCATTTTAGCAGGACTGCGATGAGGACTCGAAACAGGATGGAGCGAGTATACAACCTTGTTGTACTCCACTAATGATCCAGCTTGGGTGAGCAGCCAAACCTTGCAAACAACGTCGAGTGCTTTTGTAAGGTTGATGGATTCTTCACTTTTCCAACATATGGTAGACTGAGCAGGACGTGTAGGTCGTGGACCGTTAGGCCCTAAAGTCAAACTGCGAGTCGGGATACACCTTAACGGGATCCTTTTCGGACCAAACAGGCGAAGACGGATGTTCAAGTGTCTTGTTGAAGTAGTTTCTATCAGGTTTATCAGTTGTTATCACATACAGCCTCTTTAAGCATTTAAATGATTTACAAGCTTTATAAATATTCACGACGTGAATTATGACGGCTCAAGACCGGGTCCAATTGTCGGAA